AACTGACATTAGCATTAGCGGGTCGTGCCGTGCCGCGGGCAGATTAACCCCCCCCCCCCCCAAATAATGATAATTATTATTATTATTTTTGTTATTATTACATCATATTATAGTAAATAGATGTTGTATACCGTTTTACTTTTTTTTATTTGAGAGTAGAGGGCCCCCGCAAGTCGAGGGCCCCTAGGCTATAGCCTATCTAGCCTATTGGATAATCCGGCCCTGCTCTTGAGTCTTCTTATTAGATTTGGCATTGTTGAGGCGCTGGATAATCTCAAGGTTTCCATATTGGAGCAGTTGTTGTTGGTGACTACTGGAAAACTTTTATATTGTATTTTCAACAGTCTCCACTTTAAGGTCCCTATGAAGATCAGTATTACGGCAGTACCAGGATTCATCGACGATGTTCCTTAAAACTTTATTCTGGAAACGTTGAATAACTAAATGTTATTTTTACTGGCACATCCCGAAAGCTGGCAAATTGCTTCATTTCCACCAATTCCTCTAAATGCACTAATCTGATACAAAATATAGGTAATTAAAAAGGATTTATACAAATTATTTGATTAACAATAGTTTTATTAATATTGCTTTAAATTAACTATAATAAAACAATACTCATGTCTAAACAAAACATGAAGATCCACCTAAGCAAGCATTATTTATGTAGTTCTTACCTTAATTTCTAAAGACATATTCTGCTTCCCCTATAACAAGTTCACGACGCATAAATATTAAAAACCAACAACTCAAATCTATAATTATTTATAATATAGGCTTGTTTCTAACTGGTGGCTGGATAGGGACATGATGTAATAAAATAACTACATATCCCATCTTCTTACAAATCAGAAATTCTTCATTAATTGTTGGCCTTTTACAACATAACCCGTTTAGTAACCTTTTGTGTAACATGTATACCATGTTTCAGAAAAATTTTCAGTGAAATATTTAACTAAAATATTTTAGAAACTTGTGCCTGAAATGTTATATGTTTGAAATGTTTGAAATATTTCTGAAACATTTCTGAAATAATGTGTGCTGTATGGGATATTAAAATTCATATATCCAACTCTGTACAATCAATTCTCAGAATTAGCACCTGTAACGGTGAAGTAGGCATCATGCTTATGTTATTTCCGGTAAGAAAAAAGATCGTTATAATCTTTACCCAATCAAGAAACAACACACAAATTGAGAGACAATAGGTCAGACGACGTTACAAGATTCAGATCGTTGCCATGTCTTGCACCATGCATATCTCATTTTAATTTGCTCTTGGCAATCGCCGACACTTTCATAATAAAGTAATTGCACAATAAATATAAAATATGAAATATTTACTTGTTGATTTAAAAAATTCAATCTAGTTATTGCTTAATGTTGTTTTGATGTTTCGTTAATTCTGTGAAAAATAAATGATGTATTAAAAATGTTTAATAAGGAATCACGAGGTCTACTATCTGCATTTCAAGCAAATAACATTGGAACTTTAGTCTAAAGATACAGGCCCTTATAAATCGATGTGTTATTTTCGGTAACAATTTAAAATATCTTTAGAGTTGCTCCTTCTATCAATCGTATATATATCATCTACTAGTCCTGGCGCCGAATATCAATCAATATGTTCCTGAAAGTTTTTTTTTAATAATATTTATTTACCAAAAAATAAAAATACATTGTACAATTTATTTAATATTGTACGTGAATAAATATAGAAAGTACCACAAAGTTAAAAACGGCTCGTGGTATATTCCTGTTTGTTATGTACCTATTTAACATAGTATAAATAAATTAAAATTAATTAAATCAATTCCCTAAAAATGTTTGTAATTACCTTACAATAATTAATAACTAGAAAATTAAAATAAAGAGAAGAGAAATAGGATAATATGAAAAGTAAAACAAACACAAAATAATTTTTTAATTAAAAAACCGACTTCAAAATCGTGCAGATGCCCATAAAAAATTGAGATTTTTGATTTTCTCATAGTTCATCTGATCCTCACCAATTGTATATGGAATTGCCTCTGAGGTATCCCCTTTCTAACAAAAAAAGAATTATAGAAATCGGACAACGTGATAAAAAATTATAGCTGAAAATAGATAAAAAATGAAGAGTGATGATTTTCTCATAGACCCCATCATTAGATTTTAACTAACAAATAAAAAAATCACAAAAATTGGATAAGATGGTAAAGAATCATTGCTAAACATACATAAAAAATGAAGAGTTTGAGGATTTTCTAATGGACCCAATTATTAGATTTTGAACAAAAGACCCCGCACTTTTTACATTGATTTTGGGTACTGATAGAATTTGTTTAAATTTTAGTATGTCATTTTTCAGGTCATTAAGGGCAACTTTCTTATGGATCTCAAGTAGGCAGTTCTACAGGGTGAGCTGTAAGAAGGATTCAAAAGTAAGGAGTGTAGAATTTATATTTTCAAATATATATCCACCACTCTTTAGTAATTCTTGTTTCTTCCATCAAACTTATGTCATGTGTTACACTTGTATATAGTTTGTTAATGCTTACTTACACTTTGCAAAATAAATTATACAGCTTGTTCAAAAAATTAGGAATATTAGTTACTGAAATATGGTGCATATTACATGTATTACCATAGTTAGAATATTAGATAATTTTTATAAGTAATACAGGGTGTGATAGAACTACATAAATAACTACGAATTACAAAAACGCATTTAACGAAAAATTGGTATGCATAAAATATTGTAGAAAGTCTTGAAACGAATTTAGTTCTGCTCGTATTATAGTCATAGCTCTGTTTATCTAAGCAAGTCCCGTTCTACGCCTATGTAAACGTATAAATAATTCTACTTACTCTGACTTGAATGAGTGACTTGGAAGATATATTCTATTTGAAATGCCCTTTCTGATTTTTATATACAGTACAGATGCCAACTTATCACTTTTAAATATAATTCTATTTTTGAGGATTTAGTAGGTTAATTTTGATTAAATTAAAACATAAAAAAAAACTTTTACATTTTTTTAGTAGTAATTTATTTAAAAACTTCGTGATATGAATACTCATGATACTTAATCCTGGCCAATTCTTATTGTTTATCTATTTCACACCACTATATACTTTTATCTCGCTTTAAATTATTTCTAAGTCTATAATATAACATTAAAAATGAAGAATTTGAGGATTTTCTCATGGACCCAACTATTTGATTTTGACCAAATTTATAGAGGATCGCCCCTAAGGTACCCTTTACTAATAAAAAAGAATCATAGAAATCGCACAAGGTGGTGAAGAATCGCAGCTAGACATACATTAAAAATGAAGAGTTTGAGGATTTTCTAATGGACCCAATTATCAGATTTTGACCAAATAAATATGGGACCACCCCTGAAATACCCCCTTTCTAACAAAAAAAGAATCATTGAAATCGGACACTGTTAAAGAATTAACGCTGAATATAGATTAAAAAAATATATTACGACGAATTGAGAATCTCCCCCTTTTTTGAAATCGGTTAAAAAGAGGACATAACTGTAGGTTCTACTATGGCGAATCTATTAGATTTCTAATTTAATTTCGGTCTGTAGTAAGTAAGAATGTTTTAACTTTTTTATATAGGTTTATGAATGAATGCCAAATTTAATTTCAGATGGGAAAGCAATAAATAAATAATCTAAATAATAAGTGAATATAATTTCTCTGGCTAACGGTCTTTCTTGAAAATTCCGTTTTTAGGTTTAAGTTTTTTATCTCTAGTAGAATAATTATTTTACAGGATAAGACCTTGAATAAAATCTAATTCATAAATTTTAAAACAAATAAAATATTTATATAGTTTTCACAATCAAAATATTTTGAAACAAAACAACACAAAAAAATCAAATTCACTAAAAATTTTACACTTTTGACAGATTGAAGATTCATTGGTTGCATGTGTTTATTTATATCAAATTAGCAGCTTTTACTATATTCTTTTTTTAAACACAAAGTAATGATGAGTAGAGGGTATAATTAATTGGAGGTTTATGAAGGAAAGGATTTATTAATCGAAAATATAAAATATATTAACTCTGACAATTAGGCATTCCAATTCCAACGACCTGTGAAACAATAGGTGCCAGTGGGAAATTCTTGTATATCTAAGGGGGTAGCGACATAGTCTTGCAACTTGGACACTATTTTTATTCTAAGTAGTAGTCGCCAAGCCTGCCAATTTATGAAGAAATATATAGGTGGGTTTTTTAAATATTATTTGTATTGTGTTTGACATAAAATATTTAAATGTAATCCATTATTCATGATTTTACGTAAAGTAGATAGAATACACCGTATGTCGCCACCCTTAGATATACCAAACCTTCCCACTGGCAATTCATTTGTTTGGAATGCCTAATACAAAATATATCTGACAATTCTATAAAAATATTCAATGTCCCACCTATCCAAAATAAATATGAGGGTAACTCAAAAATTATAAAATACTAGGTGAGTTCAACTTATTTACAACAGAGGGTTTTACGCCCTATTCGAGATTCAAGCTAAGTAATACGTCCTCTGGAGAACATTTTTAAAATATGTCTGTAGGATTTTTTCAGCATTGCCAGGAGTAGCGGAATCTCGCTACGTCATCGGACATTTAGCCCTTGAAGAAGTGGAAAGACTAATATATAATCATAATCTATACTTGTTTAAGGATTTTTATAAAATCCAACCCAAATAAAACGTAATATAAATAAACAAATATTCTTCTTATAAGTGACAAATGACAGTCGCGAGAAAATAAAATCGAAACGCAAATAAGTATGTGGCTGCTAACATGCAATATACTTTGCTAATGGGCGCAATTTTGTTAGTATGACATCTCCTTCCCTCCCCACCTCTCTGTTGTTGGTCAGGTGCTTCTTATGAGCTTTTCCTATCTTTATGTACCTCATCTCTGCCCTCGGCTTTTTGAAGAATATGTTAAATTTTTGGCATAAAAGAAAAGCAAGCTTTTGTTATAGGTATGCAACATTTGGTGGTACTAGAGATGGAACCTTGGGGACTTCCTCTGAATGAAACGATAATGCCGCAACTATTAAAACAGAACGGATACACTACGCATGCTGTTGGAAAGTGGAACTTGGGTTTTTTCAAAAAAGAATATACACCGACTTTTAGAGGATTCGACACACATTATGGATATTGGCAAGGGTTCCACGATTACTACACGCATATGAACAAAGCATCGGTGAGCATTGGTTGCACATATTAATTCTTGCCACTTTTGAACGTTTCGCTTATTTTTTGGCCAAAATATTAAAGATTCGTTTTTATGAGATGAACTATTTTTTTTTTCACATCAACATAGGTCACTCTGTGACGTCATAGCATACTTCTGGTTTTTCCGAAAATAACAGTAAATCGCAATTTAGTAAAACTCCAATTTTTTATTGAAAATTCCAATTTACTGAACATTTCAGGATAAGAATATTTTATTAAAAACGTTCTGTCAGTTGTCAAAATGGCCGCCCAATAGATAACATTATTTCTAAATGTGTTACTAATAACTCGTTTAATAATGAGAATGAATTATCTTTAAAGACACTTTGTAAACCGTAATGTTCTTATTAAAACTACTCAAATTACACCAGTGGCGTATCTGAGCACTTTTATTAACGGTAAACCTCTTAAAATTTTACTCACTCTTATCTTAGTTATTATTATATTTTTTTTATGGTGTTTTCGGCATCAACTACTAAGATTGTTAGCCTCGTGTTCTGTATAGGCCTTGTACTGTTTCTCAGTGCCACTTTAGGAACAGTATTGTTTGTTTTTTTAAGAATTTGGATCGAATTTTTTTTTATAACGGATTCAATTAGTCTGTGACGTTATGACTTACTTCCTGTTTTCCTGAAAATAAGGGAAATACGCTATTTAATTTGAATTTTTATTTGGCATGCAAGAAGCCCAGACCTAACGCTTCTGGACTATTTTTTGGGGAGTATTTAATAAAACAAAAATGGGATTTCTATTTAAAAGTTTATTACGATTTACTGTTATTTCCGAAAAAACGGAAGTAAGCCATGATGTCACAGACTAATTGAATCCATCATAAGAAAGTTTTTGTTCAATATCTCAAATAACTAATATAAAAGGTGGTGGAAATTTTAAGAGATTTACCAATAATAAAAATGCTTAGATACGCCACTGTTACAATTTATGTAAGTCTAAATAGGAACACTGAGGTTTACAGAGAGTTTTTTAAGGTAATGTGTTCTCATTCTTCAACGAGTTATTGGTAACCCATTTAGAAATTATATTATCCCATATGGCAGCTATTTTTATTAAAAGATTCTGATCCAGAAATGTTTAATAAATTATAATTTTCAAAAAAATTGGTATTTTTCATTTGGAAAATAGAATGAATATATATAATGCTTGGCATTCTATATGAAACTCTTCACAGTTAAACAAACCCCCTATTTTTAATCAGTTGTTTTTTAGAATCAATAGACTTCATCCCCTTATAGAGCTTGATTTTTACTAAAAATTTTATGATAATATTGCTTTTCGTTTTTGTTTTATGATTTTTTTAAGTTTTAACCTCCCCTTCCCCTTAATCACTCCATTTTTAATAAGATTTTTTAAATCAATACGTTTTGTCCTCTTATAGAGCTTGATTTTTAATAAAAACGTCATGTTGATAATCGCTTTTCATTGTTGATTTATGATTTTTTTTTAATTTCAACAATTTTGATAATTTTTTATAAAAATCAATAAGCTTCGTCCCATTTATGATACACAAATACTGGTATGTTCCTGCGCATGTTAGCTCTATCCTTGTTAAAGGGTTTAGTTTTTATGAAAGTAGAAAAATTATTGTAGAAGTACAAATAATATGAACATTTAGTTCAACAACTAAAACAAGAATAAAATATGTGTTAAAGGACAATGGCCAAAGACAATTTATTTTAAAGAAATGTATCTTACATAACAAAGAACGTCAAACAATAATACACAATTTGAACAAACAAGGTTTGAGTAAAATCACTGCACAGTATGTTTAATTAAGGGCGTCAGCGACTATATCTTCGAATATTTTGTAGGAGATTTTTTTGGAAGTCTTCGGGAGAAGGCTCTGTGTAGATAAGCTCTTGTTTAGAAACACCAGCTGCTTCAATTGCTTTTAAAACTTCAATTGCTTCATCTTCTTGTAGCTGGTCGTAGATTACGTTCTTCACATTGCCACTTAGTGTGGGCACAGCACCAGGTTTATTTCAATTTAATCTATTCAGTAAATATTCCAATTATTGATAAGTATGTATTAGAAATTTTTATTAAATTTGATGCTTGATTATGGATTTCAAAAACGTATGAAACACTTTTTCCATTTGTATAGGGGAGAGTGGGGCACAGAGGACCACTTAAGGCCAAAAGTCGTCATACTCCTTTATCACTATTGATAAAAATTTCACTATTTTAAGATACTGGGGCTACACCTATGCGGTATCGACTGATGCATATACCTGTACAAAATCTTACTTGGTATTGATTCTATTTTAAAAAGTTTGACTGTATCTATTTTGTCCTCTCTGCCCCATAACTTGGGGCATAAAGGACTGCTGTGTTACTTGTATGTAAAAAAACTAATTCCGAATTTAATGATGATAAAAAAACAGGTTTTATTGAAAAACGAACCACAAAACACAATAATAATGGTTTATATTTAAAATAAAACATTAATGCTCATTCTTGACAAAAATAAACGCTAGGTTCTTATCTTAATCACACTTTGCGCATAGGAACTGATCCGTCATCTTCTGATGCACCTGCACACATTTGGTGGGCCCAATTTCGGCACAACTGGCATTGAATCCACCCTTCGTCAGGTTTGGACTTTAAAAATTTCCCAACAATATATGCATTTTGGATTAATTTCATCGTCTGATTCGCTAGAATCGTCATCCAGCCTCTGTTGTGTTTGAAGTTTCTTTCTCTTTTTTGGTAAATCGTGGGTATTTTGCAGACTTTCCTTTTCCAGAAGCCGAGAAGAATTTTCTAATAACCCGCTTACCTTTTTAAAAATTCTTTTTCAGTGATGCATTTCTCTTTTTTTCTTGAATTTCGGCTTCTAGAGAGTCTTTAAACGGCGTTGCTGTTAATTCTTCTGCTATTTGAGCTTTCCGTTTGGTATTTGGTTTTCGTTTGCACTTTGGCTTGGGTGAAATTGTAGCCAATATTTTTTCAAAATCATCTCCTGATGGATCCTTGGCAGTAGACGGACCTGGTGTTGGTTCAGAAGTGTCCATTTTTCGTGATGTATCTTTGGTAGTCGATGGACCCGGTACTGTTTCATTAGTGTCCATTTTTCGTGAGGTTGAGGGTACTGGTTATATAAGTCCTGATTGAACAGTTTTGTCCTCTGGGACCAACTCTGGGTTATTATCGAGGATGTGACTATGCTGAAGCAGTGGTTCTGCATTAAGTTGATCATTTTCTCTATTATCTAGATCTGCTGTCACTTGTGGATTCTCAGTGACCGACGAAGGAAGAAAGTCTGAATCCGAAAATACATCAGGATTTAGCGGACAGATACCTGTTACATAAAGACCCTTGACGGCCTTTTCTAGAGTGGCAACTTTTAAAAATGCTTTGCCAAAAATCTCCATTACATCATAGATTGATATTGTTTGAGCTGGGTTATTGGAAAGCCATTTATCACATTCTCGCGCATGTTGTCCTTTTAACGGTCCATAAAAAGAACAGTCAAGCGGCTGCATACGATGGCTTGTATGAGGAAGAAGAGAGATCATCACAATATTTAAACTACGGGCCTTTAAAATGGCATGCAGGTTGCGATGGCTGGAGTGATTATCGATTATCAACAACACTTTTCTATTTTCGGATGCACGTGCGAGTTAAGCAAAGTGTTCTAAATATTTAAGAAAGTGCTCACTATCCATCCATCCGCTACTATTTGCATATCCCACAGTTCCAGCAGGGCAACCCTTCATCAATAATTCAGACATTCTCTTTCTAGGAAAAAGCACAAACGGAGGAATGTAAGAACCTGAAGCTGATATTGCACATGTTACTGTAACATTGAAAGCCCTTTCTGTGCTGACTATGCGACCTACTTGCTTGCGTCCCTTTTGTGCAACAATTTTTCGTGGCTTAGGTACGGTATTCATGCCAGTTTCGTCAGCATGATATATTTGGTCAGCTTAAAATTTGTACTTCTTCATCACCGAGGACGAAAAAATCATAAAATTTAGTAACCTGCAAGACTGGTTGGTTCAGGAGCTCTTAATGATAAATTTGAATGCCTTTTCCTAAAATGATATAGCCAGTTCACACCTGCCATTTTCTTTTCTTTGCTAAAGAGATGAGCACTATTCATCTTTTCTACTACTTGAAAAATAAGTTTTCTTATATCAGTGGGCCACAGACCATAAAATATTGTTTCTAAGTCAAGGACATGTTTAACAATTTGTTCTTCTTGAATTTTAGTGAATACTTGTTTAAAGTGATCATTTCGCGCAGGCGTAACATTATTACTTTTAATACGCCTTAGAAGACACGTTTTCGGGACACCATATTGCTTGGCTGCCTTTGTGATGGATAATTCACTCCTGTTTACAGCACTGATGGCAGCTTCAACATCTTGGAAAGTCCACTCTGAGACAGGTTTTTTTTTATTCGTACGTACCATCTGAAATAGAAGATATAAGAATTATCTTTAGCGGGGCACGCAGGACCAAGAGCGGACACAGAGGACCAGATATTGGTCCGCTCTGCCCCGAATACACACTTCAGACGAAGTTATAGGTTATGAAATCTACAGGTAGAATTATTGGAAAATATCATGTCCTTATAAGAGCTTATTAATGGGAGTTTCAAATGCATGCAACACGTAAACACATCATTACAATTTTAAATTATTTACGAAGGCAATAAAAATAAATAAATAAACAAAACTACGAGTGACGGCGATCATAGACTAATAGACTGATAGAAAGATGTGCGGACTTTAATATAGTGTAAAGCCGACCAGGTGGCAGCACGTGTAGCAGAAATATAAACAAAGTCCTTTGTGCCCCGCCGGTCTCCTGTGCCTCACTCTCCCCTAACAGTTTTTGTCATTTTATGTTGAACAACTTGTTAGATAAACTTCAGCAATTTTTTGGATCGCGAATTATTCCGGACAACAGATAAATAAATCATTATTGTAAAAGTTTTAAAGCTAAATAAAAAAAACTGACCAAATGAAATAGCGCAATAGTGTTTCGTACCGTAGATGTTTTAAATTAGAGTTGACAGTTTTTACTGGCAGGCACTGATACAAAGTATCACTAGAGAAGAGCTCTCTTTCTTTGTATAAAAAAACTATCCAACGGACAGCAATCGTGATAATGTTCGTTCAGATGAGGTTACTTTCAGAGATAAGTTGGAAAGACAGCAATTTTTTAACGTTTTTTTTTTTTTTTTAGAAAAACTCAAAAAAAGTAAAACAAACGAAATATATATTTTTAAAAATATTTTCATTTGCTTTCACACGATATCACACGATGGCATTAGAAAAATTTTAATTTAATCTCCTCCCCCCAACTGACTTCCAAGACAAAATGTTTACGTTTTATTTAACGCCCAATGTGGGCCATTGATTACATCAAATTTCAATTGTGTTTGTCAAATTGTCTCTAAGGCCTCTCTCTCGTCTCGCTGCATCACTAGGCTTAAGAATTCACAATATATTACATGATAATAGAAAAACACTTAAGAACAAACCGAACCTCTCGCGAAAACAAAAATATTGTGAGGATTTTGTAATATAAATCATATTTATATACGCGCCACTGGTAATACTTCGCGAATATTAAAAGTTAAAAATATTAAGTTAAATTTTGTGCAACGATAAAGCAGCACTCTACAGATACATGTTATTGTTATTTCCTTTAAAAAAATAACAAAATAAATACTTTTCGAAGGTTTACAAAACAATCCAAGTTTTGTTATTATTGGTATTTCCTGAAAATTTCACATAAATTTGACTAAAAATGAAGGCTCATAAGAAATTAGAAATATTGAAGGTTTGCTTCTAAAATAGTGAAATTATAAAATTATAAAAATTTCAGTGGTCAACCGAAATTGGTTACGACTTCAGAAGAAATCTCGAAGTCGACTACGACGCTAAAGGCAAGTACAGTACGACGTTATTTACTAATGAAGCTGTAAAATTAATACACGAACATGACACTAATAATCCGATGTTTTTGTATTTGGCCCATATGGCACCGCATACTGGAAACGAAGGGGAACAACTTCAAGCACCTGATGAAGAAATTGCTAAATTCGCTCACATTAAAGATCCAGAACGACGTATCTACGCAGGTAAGGTTATAATAATATTAATATACTAATACTGTGACTATATTTCACAAAGCTACCAAGGAGTCTATTCTGTAACGTTTTAGTTAATTTTAACCGCCCGGTTAAAAGGTAATTTATAACTATGACTTTTAAATTTTAACCCAAATCTCTATTTGATATTCCATCAATTTAATTTTGTGTTGTTAGCTATTTAATAAAAATCCCAGTTAAAACAAACATGGCATGAATTGCATGTCCCGGCCCGGGTCCGGCTCGGTTTAACAACGGGCCCAGGTTCGTCAGATTTGTACGATGTCGTATGTCTACCGCGCGATGGAAAGCAGACGGGTCTATTTCGATCCTGTTTATCCAGGCTCATGGTTTGAACAACAACTGATACTGAATTTTGCATCAAATGCGGTTGTAGTAATGGATAATGCCTTAAGTATATAAGTAAATATATTCTTTACTAACTATATCATGTGCCGTTTTTTTCGTATAATAGAAGTTTATTGTATGAATGTGATGCACCCTATATAATTTATTAAAGTTATTTACAAAAACGAACACAAATAGAATTAATAATATCTCAAGTAAGGAAATAAGTAGCATATCGCATGCCTCTAGATACTGTCTTAGGTCCTATCTTGTTTAATTTTATTTTAAATAATTTGTCGTTTAAATACAGATAAAAATATTGTAAGTTTTTCAGACGACACAGTTATTCTGTAAAATGCAGAGAACTGGAATTGATTAAAATTATTAATAGAAACAGATTTCGAATGGTTTAATTATAAAAACTTACAAACCTTTGATAAAACTTATGTTGTTCTATTATACAGTTACAAAAAGATGACCTCTTCCTATAGAATCAATAAAAGGTAACGTTCAGTAGTTTCATATAAGTATTACAAATTATATCAAATACCTTAGAGTACAATTGACTGTCATCATAACTGGACTAAGCATACAAATAATGCGATATGCAAAAAATATTACTAATAATATTGTGTAATAAAATGATCAGAAATTCTCTTCGATATTAGGAAGTTTTATGTACTCCAACAAAAACATCTAAAAAAGAAATATCACAGCGGTATTTGATCTAAATATAAGTATAAGATATTTAATTTTTTTTAACGTATATCTACAAAACATATTTATTTTTCAAACCTTAATAATTTGTAAAATGTAGATTAATAAAGATATAATAAAGAAGTAAAAAAAGTCAATATTTTTTTTATAACATTATTGCTTTGATTTTTCAAATGAAATCCCTCTATAAATTATCCCAAAAATATTTTCCTATATTTATCCCACCCAACATGCAATTATAAAGTAAAATTTATTCACATAATGAAGGTTAATAAAAAAAATGCAAACTTCTCGCAAGAAAATAGCAATTCGTTAAAATGAGAGAAATCGGCAAATTTAGATAATATGCAAATGATAAATTATTATTTTCTTTTCTACGCTACTTTATGACAGTACGTCACTGGTAGACCGGAAACACTTGTCGCCATATTCGTCTAGTTCACTGTCAAAATTAGATACCATCGCGATTCCAAGGTCGTTTAGGATTCCTCCTTCCTGACTATATATATTCTAAGGTGCCAACGGGGTAGATCTGAACCTCGGTATAACCCGAGAATACCGATCAAGGAGAAGCGACAGTAGCTGTCGGTGCCTTTGATATCGGATGTACCTTTTTCACAGCACGACTTTGATTGATACACAACTTAGCACGCTGAGAAAACATGCTTATTTTCTACACTGAGCGAAAAAATTTGGCAAATTATCTGAAATTATTGTTATAGTCCATGCGCAAATGTTGCAATGCGATTTAATTACATTGAAGTAGTTAGGGTTAATAGCAATGGTGAAATTTGGGCACCAAAATATAATTCATTATGTAATAATTAATTATTTGTTATAAAAGTAAAAGACGTTTATTATTTTATAATTTATCTATAAAATTTGTTTAATATTTGGTTTATTTATTGTTAAAAATGTAATAAAAGGCCCTTATTTAAATTACCTTTTCCTTAGGTAAAAATAAGGTAAATAAAATTAAGGGTGCCAAAAAAAATTTAGGTAACAATTAAAAAGACATTAAGTTTGAGAGGTTTAACTAAATATTTGCAATGTGCATATATTTTTAAAGCTTTTAGGTTTAAAAAGTACTTACATATTTTTAGAATTTCTAGATTTATATTATATTAAAAGGACTTTCAAGTTTATCGCTCATTTCTGTAGAAACAAGTGTTTTCTCGCCAAGTTTAACAAGATGTCATTTAAGGTTTATGTATTTAGAGTTAAATACCTGGCCTGGCTATCACCCAGACAATACAAATATGTTCATTGGACTCCATTCGATATACAATTTTGGATATCTAGACGTCCAAAAATGAGTTTTCTGGATTTCCGACATCCAATGGACGTCCAGTGAAGTATACAAAAGGCACACTTGACCATTCAGAGGACGTCCAATTCTGGAATATATTTGGACGTCGAATACTGGACATTCAAAAAACGTCCAGGATTATATTTCCATTGAGACCACATCCCCACTTTTTTTACAGAACCGCAACTCACCACACACTATTTTATATTATTAATAATTTGTTTATTATTTTCGCAAACCGCTATACACCATTTATTTATTTTTTTATTAAAAATCGCTTGACCTGAGCAGGAATCGAACTCACGATACATCCATTATCATTTTACGCTTTCAATCGCTAGACGAGCTCGACCAAGGAACCACTAATGGTATAAGATTTCAAACTTCTGCTGATAGAATGAAATGCAATGGATTCAATTTGTCAATTTTTAATGACCAGTTATATTAAAAAAAAAGAAGTGGGTGTAAGTAAATAAGTGTAAAACATTTAAGGGGGTGATTCCTCATCGAAAAAAAAAAAGGATCTTTTATATAAAGAAATTTCATTGGAGCATCCCTTGTTAAGATACAGCCCCTTAAAGGGGGTACATAAAATTAGTTTAACATTTTTTTTTCACAAGCACTAAACAAGTCACAATATTTAAATTAACCAGTCATTTTCTACTACCAAAAAGACACTTAGCCGGTAATTTATTTGGTTTACCCCATGGTTGTAAGGGGTGGAAAACGCAACCCCTAAAATTTCGTTCCAACGTAACTTTTTGTCTTATTATTTTTTTACCATTTATTTCCGATAGCCTGTTTCATTCTAAACAAAAAATGTCTCTTGAATTTTTTGCCCAAAATAAACCAGTTCGCAGCAAAAAATTATTTTACGAACTACAGAGATACATCGTCATAAATGCGAACTGGATTTATTGTTATTTTGTAGTTACTACCTGCATTAAATGATTAAAAAGGGGAATAATCAAAACTAATTTATTAATAACAAAACATACAACATGTAGAAATCATAGTAAATGTTCAATATGTCTACCTTAAGACATTACGCATGCGTCTAGACGTCGGCGCATTGAGCCACGTATTCGCTCAAATAATCCTGGAGTCTCTCTAATTACCCTGCACGCATCGATGATGCGGTTTCTTAAGTCCTCTACATCGCGAACAGGAGTACGATAAACCAAATGCTGCAAATGGCCCCAAGTAGAGAAATCGAGAGGATTTAGATCCGGGGATCGAGCGGGCCAATTTTGTGGTCCTCCTCGACCTATCCACTGATTTGCATATGTTTCAGTTAAATGCTGACATGCTACTTGACTAAAATGGGCGGGAGCCCCATCATGCAAAAAAAAAATATCCCTTCTGACGCCCAAAGGAACTTTCTCCAGCAGTACGGAATGCACTTCTCTTAAAAATTGAACGTATGCCTCACCATTTAATCGAGGAGGTAGAAAATGAGGCCCAATTAAATAATCACCAATAACTCCGGCCCACACGTTAAGAGAAAAGTGTTCTTGATGGTGAGTTTCGACAATAGCGTGAGGGTTTTCATCAGCCCATATGTGGTAATTATGAAAATTAATAATTTTGTCCCGAGAAAAACTACATTCGTCTGTGAATTCGATCGTCTTCAGAAAGTCACGATTTCTTCTAATCATTTCCAGCATCCAATTGCAAAATTCAAGACGGTTCGGAAAGTCTCCCGGTAACGGTGCCTGTACTCATTGCAGATGGCAAGGGTATAAGAGATGTTCCTTTAAAATTCGAAATACCGTCATATGATCAACATTTAGCTGGAAAGCAATCTTTCTAGTACTGGTAGTAGGTTGTTCTTCAATAAAATTAAGTAGTGCTTCCTTAAGCTGTGGTGTTCTTACTTCTCGATGGCGACCACAATCGTGCGTTCTTTTGTTGAATGAACCATATTCTCGTAATCGTTGATGAAGTCGGGCAAATATTCTATGTGAAAGATGCTGCCGTTGAGGATACATTTCAGCATATCTTCTAGAAGCTTCTAACCCATTCCCCTGCGACAGACCGTAAACGTAATGCATATCATTCATTTCCTCATTTGTGTATGCCATTTTAATAACAAGTTAATTATTAAAGTAACAAATTACGAACAGAACAATAATATACAATTAGTATTACTTTAATTTCAAAAATTTACAAACTGACAGCTTGATTTCAATATAATTATCAGTACATCGCTAATAGCGGCCTACTAGATAAATTAGTTTCGTATTTTCGTTTTATGGCGATATCCATCTTGTTCGTAAAATAATGTTTTGCTGCGAACTGGTTTATTTTGGGCAAAAAATTCAGAAGACATTTTTTGTTTAGAATAAAACAGGCTATCGGAAATAAATTTTTAAATGGTAAACAAATAAAACAAAAAGTTACGTTGGAACGAAATTTTAGAAGTTGCGTTTTCCACCCCTTACAACCAAATAAATTACTGGCTAAGTGTCTTTTTGGTAGTAGAAAATGTCAGGTTAATTTCAATATTGTAACTTGTTTAGTGCTTGTGAAAAAAATTGTTAAACAAATTTTATGTACCCCCTTTAAGGGGCTGTATCTTAACAAGGGATGCTCCAATGAAGTTTCTTTATATGAAAGATCCTATCTTTTTTTCGATGAGGAATCACCCCCTTAAATGTTTTACACTTATTTAGTTACACCCTGTATAAATGGGTATTATCTAGTAGGCTTAATAAATACTGACCTAAGATGGACGTCCACTGGACGTCAAAATACTACTAAACTTAAAATTAAGTCCAAAAACAGACGTTCTCTGGGTATCGATATTCAGCTGTCAATTTAATAAGCATAAACGGACGTACACTGGATGCCCGGATATGGACGTCCTGACCCTCAAATAGATCTAAAGTGGACGTCCATTGGACTATGTGTGCATAGACGAATTTTTAGAAATAGTACTTATTTAAGTATGCATCAATATTTCCAAAATCAACTCCAGTATGATTCATTCAATAAATGTAAATATGAATGGGCAAAACATCTTTATATTGATATAATTGTAACTTACAATTTAGCCATAATAAAGGGATTTCGCCCACTTTGACCAATCCTAATTGAAACACGCGAATTTATTATATTTTTTTAAATATAATTTCAAAATAAAATAAACAAAATCTGCAGTTCATTGTTTATTAAATTTATTTAAAAGAAGAAAAACATATATTTTACAAAATACAATACCTACATATGAAAAATAAAATGTCAAAAATGATTAAATCATTATACTTAATATATAAACATGTGATAAAATTCTTAGTTTCCTAATAACTTTTTGGGCACATTTTATATCTGTATTAGAATACCTAAGTGTGTAAAAATCTTTATCTTATTACTACACAAAACAAACACCAAAAAATATCACTTAACATTGCTCACGTACTAAACACAACTTGGACTGACTTTGACAGAAAACATAATTTTGAGTGATACACAACTTATTTTCGCACATGCGCGTTACAAAACGGTACACTGAAAACACCAAGCTGTCGCTTCTTCTTGATCGGTATTCTCGGGTATAACGCTAACTTTTCAATGTGAACTACCTTGGGTTTACTTCCTGCTCACAACTGAATGAGGTAGATCAGTTCGTTGATTTTCTTGAGGACTGTATAGGGGCCATCCTAGTTCCATTTCCGTTTCTGACAGAGTCCTTCGCTTGAGATTATACAGCCATACTGGATCGTCTCTCTCAAAATGTGTCCCTGTGGCATGCTTGTCGATTCTAGCTTTTGCTTTATCCCTATTGACTCTTAAACGTTGCCGAGCGAATTCGTATAGCTTCTCTAATCTCTCTCTTAAATTCTATATGTACATGGAAGGTGTACGGCCCTCTTCTTGACCAGAAGGCTGCTTTTCAAAAAGAAGATCATAGGGAAGTTTCATCTCCCTTCTAGTAATCTTCATGGATGGAGTATAAATGGTCGATTCATTTTCAGAACTTCGGTAGGCTAAGAGAAATAGAGGAATTAAAGTGTCCCAGACCTTTTAATTCTCAGAGACGAACATAGAAAAATACTGGCATATGGTTCTATGGTGTCTTACCATTCTGTCGGACTGTAGGTGGAGAGGCTTAGTACGTGTTTTCCTGATATCTAACAGTTTCATCAATTTTTACCATAATTTGGGTTCAAAATTTCGTCCTTGGTCAGAATGCAATTCTAGGGGACTCCGTGTCTCGAAATGACGTTTGTCATAAATGCTTCCGCTACTGTCGCCGCTTCCTGATTAGGAATAGGTGTGCTATTTCAAGCCATTTTGAAAAATAGTCCATAACAATCATCAAGTATGTGTTTCCCCTTTCCGTTAAACAAAACTACCAAAGTTAGTGTATTGAATTTTTTTGAATTTTACAAATTTTATGCTTGATTATGGATTTCCAAGTTAGGTATGCATATTTTGTAAAAAACAACTCATGTTTTTTAGCAAGATATTCTGTGATTTCTCTAAACTTTTCTTCTAGGTTTGTACTTGAACTAATGATTAGAGTTCCAGGCACAAGAAGCCTGTTGATGAACTGCTTGAATCTGATATTTTTTCTTTCAATATAGACGTGCCATGTACCTAGTTGTAGATTCATTTTTTATAAAATTTCAGGCGTTATATATTCTTCTTTAGACAAGTCTGTAGTATTTACTTTAGCTTCTAACATTCCTAGAATGTTATTAGGTACAAAGGAAACCTAAAATATAATATTTTTAATATGTATTTTTAGTTCAATTAAGTATATTATACCTCTTTTATAAGTATTTATAAGTAAAATGTAACTGGACATTCGGTTAATTGTTTATCTTCTCGTTTACGACGTTTGTCCCCAGCTAGCACAAAAACAACTCATCTACGTTAATAAGCTGCAATTTTAGTTTCTTTAAGCTCGCATGCGATGTACTTTTAATGTAACCCTATTATCCCTGCAACCACCGAATATCCGCAACGGCAAGACTTCTATAGCACATCTCACAGAGGTTACAAAATTGAAGTTCGGAAAACATCACACTAGCACTTTTACGGTACTTACCCTGAAAGTTGCTCTAAAACGTTCTATAGATGTTATAATATGAATTAGTTCTACAGCATTATACAGTGTGTCTACGGATGGACTTAACTATACTTGTGAAAATTTTTATTTTAAATTAAAAAAAGTAATTCTTCATAATTTCTTTTACTTGTTAAATAAATTCGATTCGCATTGAGAAATTATGAAAAATAATTTTTAATTTAAAATAAATATTTTTACAAGTATAATTAAGTCCATCCGTGGACACACTATATTGTTCTTTTTGTAATGTAATACAGAGAGGCTGAAATTGAGGTTATAGTAAAATCTCAATCGAGACATAGAAATTTCAAATAAAACAAAATATATAAATTTATTATTAAAATGTTCTTGAAATCAAGTAGACATATCACAAAAGTAGAGGTAGGTGTATCGCAAATGCAGTTACACAAGTGCTATAACAGAAGCCACCTATAAAGCACTGAACGATTGAACAAACTTAGCTTAATAGTATAATAAGGTCTCAATATTACAAAGGTTCACTAGAAGTTTAAACAGTGAACGATTGTACAAAAGTATATTTACATAAGGTACGTTTCAAGATGGAAATTGTATGATGCTAAAACTAGATCGCTAAAAGAGCTAAGCCACACACTTATTAATTGGAGAAAATGGGTAAATAAGTTTGTAACTCTTAGGTTAAAACAACTTTTGATTTAAATCTTAAGTTTGTATTCACTAAATATGATAACATTTGGTACAAACGAAAACATGTCCTTCATTTAAAGACTGATTTAAAAACGAAAAAGAAAGGTATGTTGCTTAAAAATACTTACCACTTAAAAATATATATGTATTTTCACCTAGCTTCTTTCAGTTTGTGGGATTTTGAAGTTATTAATCGCTTATCTTTCTTCACCACTGTATTTTTCAGAATTGTTTTATTTGTGATATAATTAACTCATTTTGCTTAAAGTTGTGGCTTAGCTCTTTTCTAACTTTACCAATAATTCAACTGATAACATTAACGTATAACGTCTATCATAAAACTGAAACTATGACGTCAGCATCATCAACTTATATAGCTCGCCATAACCTTCTAGAACCTTTTCGCACCTAAATAAGGAATGATATTTCGAGACATTTCTGGACTATTCTATCTTCTTCTTTTACTCGTACTTTTACTTACGACCGCAGCGTACTGTAGGTTGATGAGTGACATTCACTTCTTTTGTATTTGTACGTTTCCTATAACAGCCTCAGGTTACTGCAGAGTGCAGGGTAAGAATCTTTCCACACCTTTAAAAAATATCTTGGGTATATTGAAAGAATTCAATTCAATCAATATTGTACATTCAATCTTATCAAATTGATTTAGAGTAATATCAATGCGGAAGTAACAAAGTATGTTAGATGTCATTAGAGAAGTTGTTGCAGGGATATCTCCAGAAATAATGGACCACGCAATGTCAAAAATATTAATTCTAGTCATTTTTGCATCATAAATCTAGAAGACACGTCAAATAAAGATATTTTTTTAAATTTATTTATCCCATTTTACAAATGTATTTTATTATCTATGAATTATTAAACTCAAAATATTTTATAAAATTTTATTCATTCCCTTTTACCACTTAATTTATATCTTGCGTACACTTAATTTATATCTTGTGTACACTTAATTTATATAAACAAAATATTCTATTAAATCATATATTAACAAGTCATCATAATAAAATCCGACGCTGTATTTGCTCACTGCTTGATTCCTTTAATGTGGGTAAAATAGTAAAACAACAGAAAATTAAAATAACCCAAACTGTACAAGGGTGTATCTACGTTGACCTTGCTATTGGAATTAAAGAGACTTACTAGTTTTAATTCCCTCTTGACCCGTTCCTTATATTTATTGTAGTTTAAATACATTCATAATTTTAAGATTTCTCAAACTGTTTCGTAGAATCTTTTAATTAATTAAATATTTTTTGCAGCTATGGTTTCCATGTTGGATCAGAGCGTTGGAACGGTGATAGCGGCTCTACGAGAAAAGCGAATGCTGCAAAACTCCGTTATTCTCTTTTTTTCGGACAACGGAGCCGCACAATTCGGTTCGAGTTATCCCTTAAGAGGGGTGAGTTCCTCTTTTGTATGTATAACATGCTTCAATTCTAAAGAACTGATTGAGAGAGTACTTAATATCGGACTTTGCTTTAATATCGTTCCTGACATAATTATCTACTGTGCTCTTAGATTCTGCATCATTTGCTACTTTAAAGGTAAATCTACAGTCTGCACTAGGCTGCGAGGATAGCTATAAAAGTTCCGGAAATAGTAGACAAATTTAGGACACCAACAGGGTCTCTATATAACGGCCAAACTAAGTTCCCATTTCCTCACAAACCCAGTAAATGAGGAAAGAAATAAAAGACAAACCTCAACTTATGCTCCTTTACAATAAATGTTCGTAATTATTATTAACAATTTTAAAAATTAATATTCAAGCAACTAACGAATATAATGTTTATCAAAAGAAAAACAACAAACTCAAAAGATAGAGTTCAAGAACTAACTCTTAAAAAAATTCAATATTTAAATTGTTCAACAACCTTTTAAATAATTTACCTTGTGGCTTTTGATGAATTTATAATTAAATAAACTAACATAATTAAATACGGTAAGAAATTAAAATGTATATTTCATATTATGTAATATGTGTGAACCCAAAAAAAAAATAATAAATTATTCATTAGGTGGCACGGCCGGTCGTTTGCTTGGTATAAGGCGAAGGACGTTTTCGCAAGATATGCGAATGTAGAAAAATCTTAATTTCTACCTTTTTACATAAATTATAAAACAATATAAATTATCTTGTGCATAATCGCACCTATATCTAAACATCAACATTTAATGTTTAAACTTTTAAAACTCCCCAAATTGGAAGAAGTTATCTGCTCAAACTTATAGTTAAGACCAAATTATTTCTAAAAAAAAAAAAATTAAACTATGAAATTATACCATTAAATATAAATCATAAATCATAAAACACAAATAAAAAAAAATATTATAAACACATAAAAGGACTTTAGACACAAAGGTTATTTGTTGAAACTCCCAGATTGGAAGAGGTTTATTTTAATAATCTCTGCCCCTTATGGGTCTTATGAGATTGCTTAACTTTCAGTTAACTCTTATGTTTTTTATAAAGAAGAAATCTAAAAATTGAAATGTTGAACGTAGCCCTTATGTCCCGAGGTATTTAATACAATTAAGTCTTAATTGTGTTATTATACTTAAATATTAGATTATTCTACTTAACTTTAATCTATAATACTATCGCGTACATACCATGAACCCTAAAAAAACATATTATCGCTGCTTTTTTGGACAGTCGTAAATTTTTATATGCGTGCAAAGCCGCGGGCAACAGCAAGTAGTATAATTAATTGCCGAAACAGAACCGTTCCTATTTAAAATTTTTTTTAAATAAAGTAAATAACGTGATAAACCGCCAAATACGATAACCGGCTCGTTTAAACAGAAAATCGCACAAACGTCAGTGTTTTTTTCAATGACATAAATTAGATGGCGATACGTTTACGAATTTAAACAAATAATAGGCGCATATTCGTTTGATATTATGGTGAGCATAATTATCCGACTTCCTCGCATCCAAAAATATTTTTAAAGTATTTCCGTAACGGGCCCGTATTAAAAAAAATAAAAGAACTTGTCACATTACTTTTGTGTTATATCTAAATTCCAAAGAGTGCTTACATATTCTTGTACATCCTGTATAACTAAAAGATTAAAAAAATGTGAGGAAGAAAAATAACTATTAAAACCCTGTTTCAGAAAAAACGATCGGCATGGGAAGGAGGTAACAGAAATCTAGCAGCAATATGGAGTCCCCTCATTCAAAAACCTCAAAGAGTTTCCAATCAGTTGATACATATCATAGACTGGTTACCAACATTCTACTCCATAGCTGGTAAAAATATTTTTAAACGTCAAGAGCGTTAATGAAATTAACAATCACAATTACTTTTAGGTTTAAATAAAACGGAAATTTCAAATACTGATGGCATAGATATGTGGGAATCGATTTCCGAAGACAAAGAGAGTCCAAGAATAGAAATGGTCTACAATATCGATACTATTAGGAAGTGGGGAGCAATCAGACAAGGTGATTGGAAATATATATACGGCTCTACAGGCAAAGAAAAGAATTCGTGGTTCGGAAATGACGGCAAAAAAAAGGAATATTCTTATGACATCGACCAAATATTAACTTCAAAAACAGCGACAGCCTTCGCTGGGCTAATTACTGACCAGCAGGTTAAAGACAAGAACTCAAACAGGAGAAAGAGAAGAGAACTTAAAATAATCGATCAAAATGATATTGAAACGTTAAGAACGCAAGCCACAGTTACTTGCGGGCCGTTTAATTTTGAAGATCAACCAGAAGAGAATAAATGTAATCTCCAACTTCCGTGTTTGTTTAACATAAAGGAAGACCCTTGCGAAAGAGTAAATCTAGCTAAATCTAGACCGAACATCGTAAGAAATTTAGAAAAACTTCTTGTGGATTATAGGAAAAACATAGTGCCTGCCCTAAATGCAGATCGAGACCCCAGGGCGAATCCTATCAATTGGAATAACACTTGGTCCAGTTGGCTAGATTCCGATTATATTGTTAGAAGTAAGGTACCAAACAGTTTTAAGACTATTTCGACGATGAATATCATTATAATTGTAGTTTCCTCTATAATTATACTCTTTATTGTATTTCGTTTATCTTCTAAACTAGCTGATACTAAAGCGAAAAAGAGAGAACAGAAACGAAAAGCAGAAACATTATTGAGCAATAATAGTGTTTAATAAATATATTTTTATATTTTCATTGGAGCCCTTTATTTGATAATGTATTTTTAGGTGAGTGGAAAAATGATCGAATCGAATTGATCAAAATTATAAATAGTCGAAAGTACAAATGATCAAAAATATAATTGCTCGAAATTAAAAATGATCGAAATTACAATTAGTCGAACGTAAAAAAAAAAGATCGAAAAGTACAAAAGAAAAGGGCAATCATTTAGACGCAAAAAAATTATACATAAAACGAGAAAAAGTAAAAGAAAACTTAACTAATTTAACCAACCTATGCGACCTGGAACCATTTAACTTTTACTGGTTGGGTAATTTAGTTAAGTTTTGTATTAATCATTTTATGTAAACATTGTTTGCGAAATATCCCGCATAACTCCAGGTCGCACTGTCAGGTAAAATAGTAAAAACAACGCTGTTTTAATCAGGTCCTAGTTAGTTAGACCATAGTTCATTTAGGCGCTGTTTCGCTAGGCGATATTTTGAGTAAGCAACAACTAATTTACTAATTTTGTAATTTAATGCTTTCGATCATATACCATTTTGATCATTTATACTTTCGATCATTTGTAATTTCGCACGTATGCGATTTCGATCATTTGTTCTACTTTCAATTTTTTTGGTTTCGATATTTTGTCACTTTTGACCTTTTGACTTTCGATCATTTTTCCGCTCACCGCCTTTTGATCCCACTGAAAAATAAAGTAAAATGTCTATGTTTTTTTGGTTTTTGAAATTATTAAAGAATTATTAAATTGTAAGCTTGAACAACATAATCTAGTAATATCGTGGTTATTTGAAACATATCCACAATCTTTATTAAGCCATATGTGAGTAGTAGGGACTGAGTACGAAGGTCCTTTAACTCTTACAAAGTCAGCACATAGTCATGAAGTAGTATTGTAAAGTGAAAGTACTTAAGGGCGTGCATTGGAACAGAGAAGTCTGAACAAGTCCTCCCAGAGAGAGACAAAATAAAGTTATCCGAGAGGTGCTGCCTCTAGTTAGCAACTAAGTAACAAATATACGTTCTGCATTTTCGCATTTGCGAATAAAAATGTATTCTTTTAAACTCGCAGGTACGGGCTTTTGTATGGTATAGATTGAAATTTTTTTGACTTTGCCTCCCACTTCGGTGTCACAAGCTGAATTTTTCAGGAATGAAAGTACATGATAAGCTTACCCTTATTCCGGAGGTAATACAAAATTAGACAGTGCAAAAGGGCACTATCATAAAAAATCGAGTTATTGATACCACCATATAGAAAAAAATTTATTTTTTTTGTTGTAATGCACAATAAGGTCTTTGTAGGAAGTATTTTTTTATAATTATTTAAAAAAAATCATTGGCATTAGCCCTTATGGTCGAAAAAAAATTTAAACGTCAATATCTCGGTTTCAACCGTCCACAAATTTGTATAAAAAATCTTTTTTTAGAAATATACCTCTCATTTGACGAAAAACGAAGGCCTAAATGAGAAAAAACTATGATTCATAAAAGTTTCGCCTATGTATTAAAAAGGTAACAGTGCTTTCACCATATTTTTTGCTTTTATAATAACAAAAATATAGCAATAAACAATTAGTTATGTCATGGTTTAACTAGAAAGCAAACATTGAAGGTAAAGTCTCTCACTCTCTATTCTTCTCTCTCAGTGCTAAAATGTATGCAATCAGTTTGACTCTCTCATATTATTTTATACACGGATTATTGATTTATACGCTATGATTTATTTTTTTATTTTTTGAGGAAAATAAAAAATAAGAAAATATGAACTATTTATTGAAGGTATAAACACAGTATATATAAGTATCGATTAAAAACAGTAAGGCTATTGCTTTGCAAAATACAATAAATTCCCAATGTAAAAAACATTATAATAAGAATAATTAAAAGTATATAAAGCATAAATTAATAATATTAAAATTTATAGTACAAGACTTTTAAACTAATCAGAATAAGATTCACCACACGAATCAACATTTTCCAAAACATTAGCGACTGTGGTCAAACTTTTTCTGCAGTTTTTCTGTGCCATACAGGTAGGTGCAGGAACCGATACAGCCAATATTTTTTTCCTGCACTTGCAAATTTTGCTTTCTTAGCTGAAGGCAAAGAGAGACATGCACTGAAAGTCGATGAATTGGCGGTGGGAATTAATTACAGCGTAAACCTATCACATCTCTCATCGTTTCTTGTTATATCTTTGTTAATTCAAAAGCAGAAATATGGTGTTTACTCTGTTACCTTGTCAACACATAAACAAAATTTTTATGATTTCTTTTTTCATTTAGGCCTTCCTTTTTTGTTAAATGAGTGGTATATTTAAAAAAGACGACTTTTTAACCAAATTTTTGAAGAGCTGAAACTGAGATATTTACGTTTAATTTTTTTTCTGCCGTAAGTACTAATGCAAATGATTTTTAAGTATAAACAGTTACTCCCTTCAAAGATTTTATTGTGTATTGGAACAAAAAATGAGTAATTTTTTCTCTATTCGGCGGTATCAACATCTGGTTTTTTGGCGATAGTGCCCTTCTGCACAGTCTTATTTTGTATTACCTCTGGAATAAGGGTTACCTTATCATGACCTAAAATCTCTGAAAAATTCAGCTTGTGGCAAAAGAGTGGGAGGTAAATCGTTTTCTAGCGCGAATATTTTAATACATACACTCTACGTAAGGGCATCAACTAGGTAGATAGGTTCTGTAAAGTATGAACAAAGAAGTTCTTTAGTGGGCTTCAATTTATTTTCTATAGGTACCTATGCCTTTATTTATAACAACACGGTTATAAAAGCAGAATGCGAACAATTAAGTTGATCAACCCAATGCTGACAAGCTCTATAAAGTGCTCTATTAGTGCGTAATTGTTTAATATTTCAATTTGTGTTATTGACACGCCAATAAGTTTTAAATAAAAATTATATAGATTTAAAAAAATACGTATTTTAAAAATATTTTTGAGTACACTTGGTGTTGCGTTTTTGTCTGGCAAATAAATAGAACATTCTGTATTTTATTTTAGTTTTAGAATGGTTTAATAGTACTGTATGTAGCCCTAGAAACTGTATGTAGCCTCTAGAAACTGTATGTAGCCCTAGAATTTTGTTTAAAAATATAACAGGTTTGTCAAGCCATTATTTTTTTTACGAAATTAGAGAATGATGCAGATCCCAAATTAAATTATCATAATTTAGGTAGGTTTACAATGATTTAAAATTGTTTTAAATACATAATTATAAGATACTAAGCTAACGAGTAGTTAGAATTGGTTTATTTTATGTCTTAAATATAACCAATTTTAAGTTGAATTTCGTCAATTTTTTCAAATGCAAAATTTTAGCATAAAATTTCTTTAAATTTACCTATCCAACGATACTAACATGTTAGCCAATAACACAAATACAGGGTGTCCCATTAGTGCGTAATTGATCAATAGCTGTTTTAATATTGGAAATACGAAACACAAAAATAATAAAGTTGTTTGACCGTGTTTAATAAAAATTCTTAAATATACGGGGTGTTACATAAACGAGGGGCTGACCCATATCTGCTTGTTTTCACATCGTCAATCAATTTTAATAGACTTCATTTATTTGCTATGTTGAATATAGGGTGTGTTAAAATTTTCAATTTTCTCAATTTTTTTAAATGGAATACGCTATATGTTATACCACCAATTGATTAATACAGGGTCCATTTACAAAATTGAGAAAATCGTAACCTCACGTTTTGACACACCCTATACAACATAGCAAATTAATGAAGTTAATTTTATTAAAATTGATTGACGATGAGAAAACAAAATTAGTATAACAACCTGCAGGGTGTTTTGCTTTTAAAAAGTATAGATTTGGTTCGCACCTCGTTTATGGACCACCCTGTATATTTAGGAATAATTGTTAAATATAATCATACAACTTTTACATTAAAAATTTCGTCGTATTTCTAATAATAAAACAGCTATCTATCAAATATGCGTTATTGGCTAACTATTGGTATCGTTGTATAGACAAATTTTTAAAGAATTTTATGATAAGATAATATACACGATGATGCATTTTAAAAAATTGAGTAAATTGAACTTAAAATCAGTTCTATCTCCACTATTCGTTAGCTTAGTATCTTGTAAGTCTGTATATTAAACAATTTTGAGATCAATGTAAACCTACCTAAATTATGATAATTTTATTTGCGGTCTGCATCATTCTCCAATTTCAAAAAAAATTAATGCTTGGCAATAGTGTAATATTTTATAAAAATATTCTAGGATTGAATACAGTATTACTAAAATATTCTAAAAATAAAATACAGGGTATTCTATCTAAAAAATATACATTTTTATTTGCCAGGAAAAACGCAATACCCTGTATATCCAAAAATATTTTTAAAATATCTATTTTTCAAATCTATATAACTTTTATTAGCTTTTATTAGATTAAATTTGAAGTTTAAAATTTACTGTTTATTCATTTTTGAATTATCGTTAAAACCTAAAGTACAGTTGAAACAGTTGAAAACTACAAGTCGAAAAAAATGCAATCCTATACTTTATTACTGGATACATGAAAGTTTAAACCTAATTTAAAAAAAAAAATACATTTAAGCATATTAGATTTGTATGAATATTTGAAATATTCAATTTTATAAAACAATTAAAAGTACAATTAACACCTAGGCTCCAGTATCCAACAAAATAAGCAAGCAATAAATTTTTACCATCTCCGTGCAGACATTTTCCGATCTCAAAGTATACAGTTGAGGCTTTCTCTCATTACTTACATATCCTTCATGCTCTTACGCAAATATTGAATATGTTTAATTCTTACAAAATTAAAAAAATCGAATACAAATCAACTTAATAATTGAAATGATATACATATTAGTAAACTCCTAAATAAGGACCTGCATATTTGAATTTATTTTTATTCAAGACGACTTTAGCGCCATCTATTAGAGAAGCTCCGAATTAACCTGTGGCTACTGTATGCAATTTTAGGAAGTTTTCTTTTATATTTTAGGCAATTATTACACATAAATGGCGATTTATAATTTATTCCAAAATTTACTTCAATGAGCTTTTAAGAAAATTGACGCAATTAATTTAGATATTTTAAGTGACATTTGTTGCTTTAGTATATAGCCTATTCAAAGAAGAATTATTTTCATCATCGGGTAATTATTACTGGTATATTTTTAGCTTTATTTCATCGTAAAAATTACCATATTTTGGGAATTATTTTTAAACGATCCCTTACAGTTAGAGACACCAAAAACCTTTATTGAACAGTAGTATATATCCATTATCGGCAGGAATTTTTTCACTTTTATCTTTGTTGTAGTTTCAGCTAAAAAGTCATTGAAAGAGCGTTGTGTATGCCTATGTTAAATACATTGCCCACGCCCGCCCTTAAGGTGTGCCTTATAATTTTCGGACAACGATATTTCAAAAAGTAATTTTTTTAAAAATTTAAAATTTTGGCAAAATAAATAAGGCAAAAATATCTAGAATATGCAAATATTTTAAAGTTTAAGCTCCTTCCAATTTCCGAGAAAAAAATCAAAGGGCTTTAAATTTTGAAATATCATTATGAAAATAAATGCATTCTTCAACAGCACTATTCTTAATATAATCCCTAAATTTAAGCTCTTAATGTCTTGTTAACGTTGCCAAGCCTTTCGGCGATGTTGTTTTAAGGGAACGTACTAACAT